AAACATGCTAACTATATAATTTTCGTAGGTCGGTATATGTGAAAAAATTGGTGCAGAGGATCATCGGAAAGAGTTTTCCATGAAAATTTAATATATAAATTTTATAATTAATTTATTTTTAAATATGTAAATATATTAAAATTTTACATATATTTATTTATTTATTTTACTATAGAATTTAATCTATATAATTTATACAAAATTAAAAACTACCATCCTATTTCTGTAGATATATAATAAACATGATTTTTTATTAGATTAATCAAATCAAGTGCATTAAGTAAACATGTTCATAGCATTAAATTACACTTATTGCAAACATTTTATACAAATTAGAAAAGATTTTACTAATAGATAAGGCTGTTTAATTATATATTAAAAAATTTTATAAAATTTTTTTTTTTTTGATATTAAATTAAATCTAATTAATAAAGTTTATCCTATTTTTTACAAAAATTTTTAGGAGTTGTATAATTTATTACAGCAAACATGACAGATGTTTACTTAGTAGGCTCTTGTTAACTTACATATAAAAAAAATTATGTTTAATATATGACATTTAATAGTAATGTTTAATAATTAAATATTTAATTTCACAAAGGCTAATTTTTATTTAAATGCAACATAAAACAAGATTTAATAGGCTATAATAAATTTATTTTACCCTCCAACAATGTGATAAAAATCTATTTATTCTTATCATTATTTGCTTTCTTATTATAAACCTGTTGTTTCTACCATTCTTTTCTTAATTTTGCATCTTTAATCTTCTTTTGCTTTATGTTTTTTCTGTCTTCTAATTCTTTTACAATTGATTCTATGATTACTAGTGTTCCAAACTTGAAGGCCTTGGGCCTGACTTGAGGTTTTTTTTCACTGATAATTGCCTTAGATGGGGATACTTCATAATTAAAGATAAAGATGCAGTTTTAGAATTCTCTAACTTTTGAATATATTCATGTAATTTCTTATTTTTATTTTTAAGCTAAGTCAACTTGCTAATTCTTATATTATGCATATGAGTTATTTCTTGGCTTAAAATAACAGATTGATAAGTTGGTAATAAAGGCATTAAGTGATCAGAGTTAATTGCATTAGGATTCAAGAGCCAAATACCAGTTGCAGCAAATGCATATCTAATTGCATTCAGAATATATATTTTATGAAATGCTTACCAAAAACTTGTGCAAACAAGTATTTTGTAACTATTTTATATTTGTTATTAGAACAATAATGATTTAATGCTTTATTATATTTGGTCTTAAGTTTTTTAAAAGGAGTTTCTAATAGTTAAAGAATATGGATGGTATTAGAAGGTAAAACATAAAGAAGAATATTGTTTTTATTACAGTATTTAATACTAGTTAAGTCAATATGACTAGTAGCTCCATCAAGCATAAGCAAGACAGGTCTAGTAGGGAGAATTGAATTATTAAAATGCTCTATATACATTTCAAAAATATCTTTATGCATATAACCAGTATCAGTAAATGCAGCAACAGTACCAGATAGAACTGATGCACTATTTAATAAACCTTCAATTATATTAACACCCTTATAAACTAGAAATGGCAGAATATATATTCCAGATGCTAAAATAGTAAAACAAACAGATACATATTTTTTTGAACACTCTGCTGTAGTTTTATGAACTTGTCAAATACCTTTTTAAGCTAATAGTTTTCTTAATTGTGCAGAGATATTAAACCCACTTTTATCTATATTTCAAATTCTGTCTGCTGTTAATAAATGTTCATCAATTATTTGTTTAAATGTTGTAAAATGGTTCTGGATAACAACTGGGTTAGCCTTAGTAGCACATGCTTTAAACAGTTTCTGAAAAATGTAAAAAGAATGCTGTGAATGATCATGTATAAATCTTTTTTACTATTTTTCATCTGAGCCATTTTTAAGTAAATGTTTTTTGTTTTTAATTTTAAGCATTTGTACAACTATTGTGTTTATGACTGCTCTAGTAAGTCTGAACCCAATTCTTTGCATGTTCAGACAGTATCTAACTAATTCATTTTCTTTCTTAGCAATGAGTATTGTAGAAGAATCTAGGTATTTAGGTGCACTACCTTGAGTTATAGCATTATGCAGTGTTTGTTCAGTAACATCAAAATTTAAAGCAACCCTGCGAATACTTAAAGGCACACTTGTACTATTTTTTTGGATTTTAAGAAAGTTTAATGCTGTCTGAATAGAAGCTTGCCAAGATTTTGTATCCTTTTTTGAAAATACAAATTAATTCATATTACATATACTATTATGAGAGTACAGATAAAAAAAAAAAACTACTATATGTTGCGAATGCAACTAAAAAATTTTTTTAAAGGGTTTAAATTTATATATGATTATATAATTAAGTATAACTTATAAATTTGATGGGCTGCTAATAAGATTCAAGTACTTTGTTTAATATATATAAATCAGTGTAACAAAATGAAGAAGTTTTTGATTGTGTAAAGTTCAAAAAACACATTTTTTAGGCATAGTACATGTTTTTTGGGCATAGTGTCTTTGGTAAGTTTAATTCATTATTGTATATTGTTGAAATATTGTTTTTTTTTTTTTTTTTTTTTTATAGGTCGCTAACTATTTAGTTTAGAATTTTGTTAACATATTAATGGCATCTATATACCTTGATGCAAATAGAAGGTTTAAAAAAACAAATTTGCACAAAAAAAAATTGCTTGTTTAGCAATTTTATTTATTTGTAAAAAAAGACTAAAAATTGTATAACAAACTTACAAACTTAAATTTTAAATACAAGAAATGTATAATCTATGGAAATTGGATGATTTCTAAAAATAGGCAGGTATATCTTATGAATACTAATACTCAGAATATAATACCAAAAGAAGTTGCTAACCTAATTATAACTAAAATAAAAAGTGATAATGATTATTCTTAGAATTATGTATAATTTTATGATAAATTGCAATTTATTATATTTGCTTATAGTTGGTTTAGGCTTAGTCAGATTTTTATTAATTTGAGTTCTTTTGAGTTTAAAATTATTTTATAGTTTAGGTTTAAAATTTTTTGAATATGCATAAATCAGTTAATTATTTTTAATTAATAAATATATTATCATAGTTATAAAAAACAAAAATAATTAAAAAAATTTAGCAACATGGTCAATAGTTTTACTTATCTGTATTGTTAGTTAATAGAAATACAAAGTGAAAGATATAAAGACTCCAACTAAAAACAACATGTGCACTATGATTATAAGAGAAAAATCTTAGTTTGAATCAATACTGCTATTAATACAGTGATAGTAAAAATATATTACAAATCTCTTCACATGCACTCAAATCTTTGTAAACAATATACATATTTTATCACAACAGAGTTAATAAATCATTTGTGATGTTAAAAATTTGATTTTTCAATGTATTCTTATAAATATATATACTACTAAAAGGCCATATTAAATCATAGTTCATTTCAATAACACAAAAATTAGATTGAATCAGCATATAAATTACTTAATAAGTTCAATAGTCAAGGTTTTCATTAATGTTTGTATATATATAATTTGAAATTAATTGCTATTGGTTTTACTATTCCAATATTGAGTGAGATCAAAGATAAAGCTATTAATATCACCAAAATTTATATAGACTTAATGTATAGAATTGCAAAAGGAAGTTATAAACTATTTAGTATAGTAGCTAATACAGAAGGTGCTGAATTTCTAATTATATATTTAATTTTTGATACTATTAAGACAACAAATACAAGTACTAGGTATTATGTAATAAAAATTTTTTTTAGTTCTAATTAAGTAAAATTTTAAAAAATCATCTTATTTATTATTTATTTTTTTTTTTTGGAATTATTTAGAGTGATAAATAATTTACTGCCACCTCATCTAAATTAAATACTAAATTAACTATCTGATCCTAATTTTAGTATTCTCTTATCCTAATGTATATTATCAAATTACTATTTAATTTAAACAGAATAATAATAAACTATTTATTATCTAGATGCCTTCAAAATTTTTTGTTTTTTTTAATAATTTTTTAATTTTTTTAATAAAGAAAAACATTATAAAATATTAAAATACTTTTTTAAGTTTGTAAAAAGGTATGACATTTTACCAAATTTTGTATTTATGAATAAAGACTTCAGTAAAATCAATATCATAATAACAGTGTAGAAACCTTTAATTATTCAGCTTTGCATATGGTATATGGATCAAGTCATAAAACTAAAGCTAAAAAAGAAGCCTAAAACATCAAGAAATATGAAACTAATATTAGTAGCATATAATATTACTTAGGCAGTAAACAAATTTGATTTTATTTATTTGAGTTTTTATCTAACAAATCAGGACTATAATTTAAAAATTTATATTATTTGCTCTGCAGAATATCAAGAGCCAATTTTGAAGTTTATAAAAAACATTTTAATATGCACTCTTTTATACCTGTTGATACTAAAAAAGGAACCATGTTATTGATCAATATTAGATATAGTGTCATAAAGGAAATATATTAATTTTGTATAAAAAATGAGTTGTGATTATTGTGAGCTTACTTGTAAACAAACTGGTACTTTTTTAATTATTAGTATCTATAGGTTTGATCTGTTAAATATACAATACTTCTGGCCAAAATAATCATAAAAATTAAATCCAACTAGTCTTTTATCAAACAGCATTACCTTAATAGATTTAATAATCCAAGATTAGATCTTTTATTTTGAACTTAGTTTAATGAAATAATGTTACAAATTATAATAAAAATCAGATTAAAATGAAATTTGAGATTATTATTTAATTCTTTATAATTCACTTATTTATAAATTAAAGAACACTTACTATTTATATAATTTTTGCATTTACCAAATATAAATTAACTAATCAAAACTAATATATATCTAATTTATTTAATAAGTGCAAAGTTACATAAGCTGGCAAGTACTAATAAATGTTCAAAGACTTTCTTATAAATTAAATATTTTAATTACTATATTAAGATTACAAATATTTAGTAAAAATATTCCAAAGAATATGAAAACATTATTTTTGCTAATACCTAAATAGCTTAGAATATTTTTATTACTTATTTCTAAATTTAACCTCTAATTCTAAAAAGTGCTAAAAGATGAATCCAAAAAAAATTGCATTTTTAGTATTATGACTTGTTTATTTTACTCTACAAATTTTTATTTTAATCTAATTTTCATTTTAATCTGTTACAGATAATGCCATCTGAGAAGGATTAATTTTTGAAGCTTATAAATAGTATGATAAATCCAGCTTAATAGAAAGATTTAAGAAAAAGTAGAAATATACAAGTGTAAATAAGAAAAGAAGAAAAGAAATATATGCAAATAAATATAACAAAAACAAAAAAAAAGTACTAATATAATAACAACAGACTCAGCTGATTAACTAGTTTATATTTTACTAATATTTGTCATTAGGCCTGTAGTTGTCTAGTCTTTTTCAGAAGTCATTTTCTAATATGTAACTATCTAGTTAGACAGGTCATAAATATGCCTAATAAAACATGAAAAAGGCTAGTTAGAAGTAATTTTAAACATTGAACTTCTCTTTCTTTCTTTTTTATAAAAGATCTTAATATTAATAAAGTTATAAAAAATATTCTATTTATAGCAGATACCTCATCTTTCAACATTTTTAAAAATGTTAATATTAACATTGATGAAAACCTAAAAGAAGAAATCTATGCTTATATTGAATTTAAGTGACTTTTAATTGAATAAGTAATAAAACAAATGTATATTATTTAATTTGCAAATAATTGATGTTATTTTTGTGCTATGATAAATTGAGTTAGTTAGCAACAATGAAAGAAAAAATACAATCAGTAAAGCATAAAAGGCATCAGCAGACAACTTGGGGTTCAAAAAGTAAAAAACCCTATTTAATATATTTATCATATTCAGATAAATCAAAAACAGTAAAGAACATAAAAATTAATGATATAATAAATTTAGTTATTATTGAAGATATTGAATAATTAAATAAAGAGGATTATTAATAAATTTAAAATAAATTTTGTACAATTAGTTTTAATATCCAGTTGAATATATAAAAAATTGTTAATAATATAATTTAATTTCCAAAATAAATAATCTTTTTCATAATAAGTAAACTCAAAACATTAAACTTTTAATTATTATTTACTAAAAGTATGACTTTTTTTTTTGTTTAAAGATTATATTTTTATTTGTGAGAACACATAAATTAGACTTATTAGATAATAACTTTTCAAGCATTTTAGTTCAAACTATTAAGCCACATATGTAAAATAACTTTGAATATTAGTTAAACTCTGGTTGATCTATTATTAAGTTAAATATGAACAAGAGTTTAGATAAGTAATATTCAGTTTTAATGAGAGAAAAAAAAAATTAATTCACAAGATAATCATCATCAAGATCTTGTAACTACTGCTATATTATATGACCTGGATTCAAAATGGTTGCTCTAGATGTCTTATAAAATAGTAACATTATTAACTTTCTGTTTTTTGGTTAAAGATAGATTTACTGTAGTTTATAATAAAATTTTAGTAGTAATTTGTCATAAAATATATAAATATAAATTTTTAAAAAATACTTCAAAAAAAAGTAAACATATTTGTTTATTTATATAATAATATTATATACTGAATATTTATAAACTATCTATATTAATATATATATAAAGTTTTCTTGAAACTATTATTATCTAGATGCAAATAATTAATACAATGTTCATATTTAATTATTTCTTGTACTTTTGTATACTTCTGTATAGAGAACTATAAAATATTTTCATAATTAAATTCAAAAATTTTGAAAATTCAATTTTTATAATATTCAAAATCAGATAATTATTTAACTCTTAGTAAAAAACATCAGAAAGAAATATTAATAA